CACACCCTTCCTATATAATAAAGAGGTAATATGCAAATTAACTCTCATGCCCTCACAGGATGGCTGCCTATGACCAGGCTTGCAGGGGGATTAGTGAGGGACGACCAAAGGACTGAACAGCAGGCTGTGTGGGGCGACCAGGCCAGCAGGGGGCGGCCATGAGGGGTGGCAGTTGGGGGCAACCAGGCCAGCAAGGGAGGGCAGTTAGGGATGATCAGACCTGTACACAGAGGCAGTGAGGGGCGATTAGGCTGGCAGGGGGGACAGTTAGGGGCAACCAGGCGAGCCAGTGGTCCAGGATTGTGAGAGGGATGTCCAACTGCCAGTGTAGGCCCGGCAGTCGGACATCCCACGAGGGGTCCCGGATTGGAAAGGGTGCAGGCTGGGCTTAGGGGGACCCCTCGACCCCCCATTGCATGAATTTCATGCACCGGGCCTCTAGTGTATATATATATGAGGTTGCCATATATCTACTTACTGTAGGGTGTTGGGAAGAGCCATGTATAGAGAGGTGTCTCACAAGAGACACTCCACTACAAACCATCTTAGGGGGATGCCAGAAGAAGTTTCTGGCTGCTAGCTACCATACACTGAAAAAGCCAGCTGCTGAAGAAGCCATAGGCCTTACAGGAGCCAGACACTGGAGAAGCTGCCCAGAGCACAGAAGCCTAACTAGAAACAGGAAACCAACCCCATTTTTCCTGCAATCTCTCTCTGGTGCCCTCTACTGGCAAAGCTTAATATCTACGAGCAGGAAAGGGATAAATATTTAAAAGGCCCAAATCCATTTCACAGAGCAGGCAATAAGGTAAATTTGGAACTGAAAGGCAATAATTTATTTATTACTGGTACACTAGGAAACCTATTCATTATTTTCAAAAGTTGTAAATAAATGTAAGTAAATAAACATTTATTCTGCCTTTCCTATTTTATGCAAAGAGCTGAGGTTCAAAAAAACTTTAGCATATTGTTTGTGGATTCCAAATAAATAAACTGGAGGACTGGCTGTGAGAGAGGGGGGTGTTTGAACTCCTTGGTATTTAGTCACAGGAGTTGAAAACTCATGTCCACAAAAAAAGCTGCACAGGTACGTTTATAGAAGCTTTATTCATAATGTCCCATACTTGAAAGCAACCAAGAGTACTTTAGCAGAGGAATGAATAAATCAACTGTGGTACACTCAGATAATGGAGCATTATTCAGTGCTAAAAAGAAATGAGCTATCAAGCAAAAAACAAACAAACACACACACATGCAGGAAACTTAGATGCATATTACTTAGTGAAAGAAGCCAATGTAAAAAGGCTACATACTGTATGACTTGAACTAGATGACATTCTGGAAAAGGCAAAACTATGGAGGCAGTAAAAAAATCAGTGGTTGCCAGGGCTTAGGGGGAGGTAGGGAGGTACAGGCAGAGCACAGATTTTTAGGACAGTGAAACTATTTTGTATGGTACTTCAATGGTAGGTATATTGTCAAAACCCATAGAATGTACACCACCAAAAGTATGGACTTTGAGATAAAATCTATCAATATAGGTTCATAGATTATAACAAATGTGCCACTCCGGGACAGAATGTCTATAGTTGTGGGGTTGGAGTGGGGGGTGCGGTTGTGCATGTGTGGGGATAGGGAGTATATGGGAACTCTGTATTTTATGCTCAATTCTGTTGTGAACTGCTGACACATGAAAGGCTGGTGCATGTGGCATTGTGAGGCACCCAGCAAGGTGGAGGAGGGAATGTTGTTGGTGAAAAGTTGAGTGTGGAAAGGAGGATGGATCATGAAAGATCCTGAAATCAGGCAGGAATTTGGACTTGCTGTGGCACTCCCAAGAAAAGAAAGAAGCCCCTGCTTTTTTATTGTTAATAAACCCTCATATGAAAATAGCATGTTGCAGATAACAAAGTACTCATGACAATTATCTCCATTATTCCTCACAAGAGCCTTGTGAGGTAAGCACAATTTTACTACTAAGGAAATAGAAGTGAGGAGGCTACCTAGTAGCTATTACATAGCAGACCCAGGGCCCAAGCCTGGATTGTTCCTCAATCTTTCCTCTCTACCACAATGCCACCGGGTAAATTCGATTTCTGTAGTGGAGTTTTTAGGCTGAATTGACATTAAAATTATATTAACTTTTTTAAATTGATTTTTAGAGAGAGGAAGGAAAAGAGAGATAGGAACGTGGATGAGAGAGAACCACCAATATTGATTGGCTGCTCCATGCATGTCCCTTGTCAGAGATTGAGCCCATAACCAGGGCATGTGCCCTGACCAGGAATCGAACCGATGACCTCTAGGTGCATGGGTCCATGCTCACCCACTGAGCAACACTGGCCAGGCAACATTAAAATTATATTAAATTTGGTTTCTACAGCGGAGGTTTCAGGCGGAAGTGATATTATTAAAGTTATATCCTTTTGAAAAATATTTATTGAGTATAAATAAATGTCCTATACATTAAATATCAAGAAATATTCATTACTGTTACAAGTCAGGCTGTAATACTGAGGGAACCATAGAATAAAACCATCCACTCATGACATAGTATTAATTCCATTCCAATATTGGACACAGTATGCTTTACTCACAAGACACAACAATACTTATTTAAAAAGGCCATCACTTTAACCAACCTATAATACCGCAAATGATTTTGAATCATAATATGAAGAGTCCCAGAAATCCCATCTGCCTTATCAATTTTATCAGGTCAATTTGAGATAATGGAGTTAAACTATCATAAAATCTAAAGAGTCCCATTTCCTTGATTTTATTTCAAATTATAGGAATGAAATCATACATGCCATTGATACTTTTAAGTAAGTTAGTCTTTCCTAAGAGAAAAGGAGTAAAAATTTAGTACAAAGAAAGCATCACCCAAATGTTGAGTCTCTTAATGGGAAAAAAAAGAGCAATGTAATTAACTTTTCCTTCAAAGAAAGGAAAGAAACCATAATCTGTTATGATAAATTTGGAAAGATAAATATTTCCTAGTCCCAGAATATGTATTTATTTTACAAGATGTACTTGAGCGATGCAAGTCTATGAAGCAGGGATCTGTGGCAATCCGAATTCATCCACGAGAACTCCATCCTGTAAAAAGGAAGCAATGTTTAGTGCCACTATTTATCTTTTTTTTAATTTTTATTAAATGTATTGGGATGATATTGGCTAATAGGATCATATAGGGTTCAAGTGTACATTTCTAAGATACAAGATCTAAATAGTAAACTTTGTGCCCACCACCCCAAGTCAAACTACTAGTATACCTTCCAGCCCTACCACTTCCCCACCCCATTCCCTCTGATAATCACCACACTGTTGTCTGCCCATGAGTTTCAGTTTTATATCCCACATATGAGTGAAATCATGTGGTTCTTTAGCTTTTCCTGACTTATTTCACATAGCATAATATTCTCATAGTACCACTATTTTTCAACTGATTAAAAAAAATGATTACAAATATTTAATAGTTAAAACTCATCTCCAAATGTTTAATCAACGAAAATCAAAATCAGAAGATGAGAGATTTTTTTTATGAAAGGTAAGGAAGGAAGTGATGAACCTGGACAAGAACTAGAAGAGATCAAAGAGGTGATCTTTACAGGGTAAAGGAAGAGTAAGAGAGACACAGAAACAGAAAGAAACTGCAGTGTAAATCTAGAAAGGGGAAAACAGGGCTGGGAGGGTCAAGGAGGAAAGGCTGAGGAGTTAGTCCTTGGCTCCAGATTCCCATTTTCACTCTGATCCCTAAAGTGAGCAATTAACTTTTATAACCTCCCAAATACTTGAAGGAGCAGTGCTGGAACAGGCAGTTACTGCCATAACATACTGTCCTACAAACGTATAGGCAGTGATACTGCTATCAATTTAGAAACCATATCCCAACAGCACTTTAACTTAGGAACCTGTGACCTTCTAGAAGTAGACCTAACATACATGCTTCAGGGAATTAAAAAGGTGGGCTATGGTGGTATTCATAAAAATTCTTTCACGTCTGCTGATAACAAACAATCTATGCACCTGGAACACTGAAGTGGCCAGAAGTGTGGGGGTGGTGTGAGGGAGAGAAAGGTAAGATGACCTCAAGCTCAAGGCAGATGGGAGGACTAGAGTAAGGGAAGACAAGCATTTACAGAAAACAGCTATAAGCGTCCTGAGAAATTACCTGGCCACTTTTTGCTGCCCACATTTTACAGGTGGAAAAACACTGATGAAATTCAGAGAGGAGACATGAATTGCTAATTTGCTCAAAGTTACACAGTGAATAAAGATAGAGCTGAGACTGGTTTCCACTCAAGTATTCTGTCAACTACATTGTGTATGTTGGGAGATAAGGAAAACACCAGGACTGTAAATGTCCAGTGGCAACAACAAAAAAATGACACACTACATCAGGACCTAAGATGGAATGAGCAGGATTTCATATGCAGCAAAATTTTATCCTATACTAGAGGCCCGATGCATAAAATTCATGCAAGGGGCTTGGCGCTCGCAGCTGTGATGGCTTGCCTCGGCCCTTGTTCGGCTGTCCGGTCTAATTAGCATATTACGCTTTTATTATTATAGATAATAAAGAGCTAATATGCTAATTAGACCGGACAGCAGAATGACCGTCTGGACAAAGTTGGGGCTGCAAGGGCCAGCCGAGGCAGCCGGGACTGCGAGGGCCAAGCCCCTTGCATGAATTTTGTGCATCGGACCTCTATTTATAATAATAATAACCATGTCACTTTGGACAGGGTTTTAAGTTCGCAAAGCCCTTACATACAGGATCTAATTTTATCTGCACAACAATTGTGTGAGATCATACCTGCATTTCACAGATGCAAGGACCAGAGAGGTTTGAAACAGCTAAGTGATTTGCCAAGGTCTCAGTCAGTGGCAGAGACTTCAATCCAGTGTCCTGCTTCTTTTACCGTATTGAATTAGAATCATTCTACATTAGGTTTTATACTTAAATTGTTAATCCCTAGTTTAAAAACATCCACCCTCTAATTAACCAGTGTTCCTGGAGAGTAGAACTTTCTTTTACTCTGTAGCCTAGCACAGTTCATGCATGTGCTGCTGATGTTTTTCCAGGAAATGTCTAAAACTTAAAAGGCACTCAGTGCAAGTTCACAACAAGGGTAACTTGTAATATTACATAAATTGTCATTGTATGAAAACATTCCTGGTCTCTGTGACACTATCTACACAGCCTGTTCATAATCCAATGTGAGAGAACTGGACTTTCAAGGGTACTCAAAATAATGACCGAGACAGTCTTTCCTTGTTTTAACTTAATAGTACTTTTTAGAATCCCAGACTGGTGATCAAGCATAAACCTTTATGATTTGCATAGAAATTACAAACAGAAAAAGCTTTCACCTTATTCTTTGTGTCAGTGGGAACACCTTCTGGAATTGCAGGTGCAGATGCAGCTTCATCCAAGTAAGAACTGTCTTCGTCAGCCAGAAGTTCATCACCCAGTGCATCCAACTCTGAAATTGAAATAGTCAACATAAAAAAAAAAAATGTGGAACCAAGAAAACTGGCAGCTTGTGTTAAGAAAGCCCAATTATTTATTAGATGAACATATAAAAACAAAGGAAAAGGGATTATTAATTTCTATTTTCAAAATAAAAGATTAGCATTATAAGAAATTTTCTATGGAACTGATGTGATAAAATCTATGAAAAACAAAAATCAAAGTAAAACAAACAAAATAACCATTCTTCATGGGTTCATAAGGCCCCCAGTCTTCATGAGAAGAATCTATAGTCATCAGCTGATCAATTCAAATGAGAAAATCCTGATAATATTAAATGTAAAAAATTCTCTCTCATTTATTGAACTTGAAAGAAGAGAATGAAAATAGGCAGAAATTGTTGTATACAAGTAATCATTACCTGAATCAGGCTTTTCAAAAAAGTATATAGCATAGTGAGTAGAAAGTGCCCAGGAGGAACAATAATAGCAGGCAAAGACTCATTAGGGGAGATTTTAGATGGGAAATAAGAAAATTAAAAAATGAGTGGGTTTGGGGAGGCTCTAGGCAAAAGCAGAACATGGAGATGGAGCCTGCAACCCAGGCATGTGCCCTGACTGTAAATCAAGCTGTGACCTCCTGGTTCATAGGTCGACGCATAACTACTGAACCACACCAGCCAGCAGGGCCTTACTCATCCTTTAGGTCCCATATCCCAAATATGTTAGATTCCCCAGTTATGTGCTTCATGATATCCCATACTTCTCTAACCACTTGTGCTCTTGTAATGAACTACTTGAAAGAAGCAGTTTCTTACCCCTGCTTAAGAAGCTTCATGAATTCAGGGGTCATATTTGTTTTCTCCAATGCTGAATCTCCAAACCTAACAGTGTCTGGTATATAGTATATGCACAATAGTATTTATCAACTACTATTTCTTGATCTACTTTGCTATTCTGAGGGACAGGAGTTCCAGTAGCAAAATAGGGAGACCAAAATCAAAAGGAAAACAGCAGGGAAAGGCAGTGTTTAGATACCAAGTACCGGTCAGCAGAGGCCTTTGTGTGGACCTTCCTTCAGAGCTTGTCCATCCCAGAGTTGTAGGTGGAGTATGCAAGTCCAATGTGGCTGCCACACAAGCTGTCTTCCCAAAGGCTGGACCATAAACTACCTCTCCAGTAAAACCTCACAGGAATTTTCTCTAGCATTTGGGGAAAGGTCCCAGGCGGGTGCTCCTTTCAGACTCTAAAGCTACATGTGCGTTGCTTTTTCCATAACTTTACCTGCTTCTAGGTCATCTTCATCTAACTCTGGAGTGCCATAGCTACGACTCAGTGCTTCTTGGATTTCGTTTGCATCTTCCATCATATCCTCTAGCTGGTCTTGTAAATCCTATAGGAATATATGACACAATTTTTATTCATTTTTTACCATTTTACTCTGCCTCGTGCCCCTACTCTCTCCTCTGAACTTAGAAAGAAGTAATTTTTAAAAAGATGATGTACAAAAAAATGCAGATCACATAACAAGTTCTTAACAACTGTTAGCTCCCCTCTTTTACCTCAGTCCTTGGCTAGTGATTATTTTTAGTCAACAGCTGAGCAGATGCTCCACTAAAGGACAAGTTCAAGCAACTCCTGCATGTTCCTTCTCATTAAAACTAAAAGAAAGTGAGCTTAAGGAAGTATTTTTTAAAAAATATATTTTATTGATTTTTCACAGAGGGGAAGGGAGAGAGATAGAGAGCTAGAAACATCGATGAGAGAGAAACATCGATCAGCCGCCTCCTGCACATCTCCCACTGGAGATGTGCCCGCAACCCAGGTACATGCCCCTGACTGGAATCGAACCTGGGACCCTTCAGTCCGCAGGCCGACGCTCTATCCACTGAGCCAAACCGGTTTCGGCTAAGGAAGTATTTTTAAAAAATAAAAAATTTGAACAATAAAATGGCAACAAGTACTTATCTATCAACAGTGAATCTAATAATAATAAATGAACAAGGAATCTAATGAACAAAATAAGCTGATGAATAAAATAGAACCAGAGGCATGGAAATGTGGAACAGACTGACGAATCTCAGAGGGAAATAGGGAGGGGAGGCAAGAAGAGATTAATCAAAGAACTTATATGCATACATTCATTACCCAAGGACACAGACAATACAGACAATAGGGTGGTGAAGGCCTGGGGTAGGGCAGAATCCGGGTGGAGGGAGGCAATGGGGGGAAGATAGGAGGGGAGACACATCTATAATACTCTCAACAATAAAGATTTTTAAAAATAATAATTATTTAAAAATCACAAGTTTGAAGATTTTCCCTAATAATAACTATAAATAAAATTGACCTATATAATCCTCCTCCTGTTTTTGGTGGTAAAAATGTAAACTTAAAAATAAAGAGGGCCCTGGACAGTGGTTCTCAGTGGTTAGAGCATTGGCCCATGCACGAAAGGGTCATGGGTTCGATTCCCAATTAAAGGCATGTACCTGGGTTGCAGATTAGATCCCAGGCCCCAGTCAGGGAAAGTGCGGGAAGCAACCAATAGAAATGTCTCTCTTACGTTGTTGTTCTCTCTCTTTCTTCCCCTCCCTCCTTTCCATGCTCTCTAAAAATCAATGGAAAAAAGATCCTCTGGTGAGGATTAACAAAAAAATAATTAAGTGGAAACAAAACTGGCGATCTTGCATTTGAATTTAAGGTGCCTCATGGAAATCCAAAGTCCTAGTGCAAGAATAGATACCCATCTTCTGTCATTATAGAAAGTTTACCTGAAACATTACATCAAGCAACAACTACACTACCAACATTTTTCCTAATTAACGGAGAAAAAGAGGTAATTGAAATACGCAAATCACTCTTCTTGAGTTAGCCAAAGACTGTGTAAGAAAGGAGGCAGTAGCAGAAACAACTGGGTGGTATAAAAAAGTTATACTGGGTCTGCCATTGTTGGGGAAACAGAAATAGAAAAAGGAAAGGTTTGAGATCTGAGACTGGGCTGGTGAAAACCATTGACTGAGGGCATAAATCATTTGTGAATAATCTACTTGCTTAACTGGAACACTACTCCAAGGCCAGAAAAAATGTAAAACCAATCTAAGAAGGGGTACAGCATAATAAAGGGCAGTTGTATAATGGGTTGAAGAGCTAACTCTGGAGTCAGCGCCTAAGACCATCCTGCATATCAGATATTTACATGACGATTCATAACAGTAGCAACATTACAGTTATGAAGTAGCAACAAAAATAATTTTGTGGTTGGGTCACAACATGAGGAACTCTATTTAACGGGCCAGAAGGTTGAGAACCACTGTTCTAGAGCAATGCAAAACATTTGAAAACTCCTTCCTAGCCCCCAAATCAGAAGTTTGTTTTTCCAAATAAAGGGTAGAAAGTAAAATGGAAAAAACATTTACAAATATTTAAAAAGCCCTGACCATTATGGTTCAGTGGTTAGAATGTCAGCCTGCGCATGGAAGGATCATAGGTTCGATTCCCCATCAAGGGCATGTATCTGGGTTACAGGTTTACTCCCTGCCCCAGGTTGGGGCTCACGTCCCAGCCAAAACATGATCTCAAGAGAAATGCTAATTTTAAGGACCTAATGACATTATTAAAAATATAAAGAACATTATTAGAAAAGCGAACCAACTCCACACTAGGACTGTTTTAAGCATTCTACATATATCTCCTCATTTTACACTCATGACAATCCCAGGAGATGGACAGCAACATAACTACTTTACAATTGAGAAAACAGACTAAAAAATCATTGAATTAGAAGTAACAGAAACCTGGGTGTTTATTGGTGCTTATTATGTGCCAGGCATTGTGCATGTAGGTCAGGGGTGGGCAAACTTTTTGACTCGAGGGCCACAATGGGTTCTTAAACTGGACCGGAGGGCCGGAACAAAAGCATGGATGGAGTGTTTGTGTGAACTAATATAAATTCAAAGTAAACATCATTACATAAAAGGGTACAGTCTTTTTTTCAGTAGTTTTATTCATTTCAAACGGGCCGGATCCGGCCCTTGGGCCAGAGTTTGTCCACGGCTGATGTAGATACACCAGCTCATTTATTTCATCTTCATACTAGCAATATGTGGTATTAGGAACCTTGCATTAACAAGGAAAGAGAGACCTTTGGTGCCCTTTCTCTAAGTTACTTATTTGTAAACGGCAGGCCCAAAGGTCAATCCCTTTTGTGCCCTTCCCATCACATACACATTCATTTGGATTCTTTCAGAAACTAGTGCATTCTTGCAGAAGCCAGTATATATCTCACCTCAATCTGGTCAATTTTCACTTGTTTGTATGCTTTCTTCATTTCCTTTACTCCCAGTTTCATAGCATCAACCTAAAAAAAAGGTTCAGAAAAAAACACAATGTCTTAAAGAGCCATGCTGGTTAAACTGTCTTTTAAAAACCACAGGAAAGAGCACAAGAGTACAAAAATAAAATAAAATCACGGGAAAAGGTGCTATGGAAGTACCGTGGTCTTAGTGTCTTTCAATGACTGGATGGTGTAATTGGCTTGCTCCATGTTAAATGACTGCTGGGCAAGATTGTCCCGCTGCTGCTCGTACCTTTTTAGAGTAAATTGAGAATGGCAAATGTGAGACAGATAGAAATCCTCAAGAAGAAAGTATGTCTAATACTAAATAAGAATTTTCTTTTTTAAAAAGAGTTTTTAAATTAAATATGCAATAAAATTGGCTAAAACAATCACTCTAACCCAGCAATTTTCAACCTTGTTCATTTCATGGCACACATAAACTAATTACTAAAATTCTGCGGTAGACCAAAAAATATATTTTTTTGCCAATCTGATAAGAAAATAGATATAATTTTGATTCATTCACACCAGATGACTACTGTTATGTTGGCTGTTGTCATTTTTTAATTTGGCAATCTAAGGGAAAAGAGGTCAGTGTTCCTGACTTGTCAGGTATTGCATGTTTTAAAAGGTCTTGCAGCACGCCTGCTGAAAAATCACTCCTCTAACCAAATATCATTTGATGCAACTCTCCAGCCTTTTTCTTTTGTATATGTATTTTAGTTATAACGCTAGTTTCCATTTAATATTATTACATTTGTTGCTACAAGGTATTAATATATATATGTCTTTATAACGTTTTACATTATTTCCTATGCTAAATTCCCAGAAGTGGAATTCTGGGGCAAAGGGTAAGACTATTTAAGGACCCTTAAATCTCCTGGTGGGAGGGAACAAATATCCAAGATTCCCAATTTTACAAACAAAAATTTAAAAAGCACACTCTAGCCTGGTGGCGTGGCTCAATAGTTGTGTCAACCTATGAACCAGGAGGTTGTGGTTTGATCCGTCAGAGCACGTGCCCAGGTTGCAGGCTCGATCCCCAATGTGGAGCGTGCAGGAAGCAGCCAATCAATGATTCTTTCTCATCATTGATGTTTCTATCTCTCTCTCTCCCTTCCTCTTTGAAATCAATAAAAAAAATATATGTATATTTTAAAGGCACACTCTAATTAAATAAATAATGGGAGAACCAAACCCTATAGATTTGGGCAGTCCAATACAGAAGACATAAGTCACATATGGCTAGTTAAACTTAAACTGTTAAAATTAAATAAAATTAAAGCTTCAATTCCTAGTCATACTAGCCACATTTCAAGTGCTCAATAGCCACCCATGGCTAAAAGATTCTGAACTGGACAGCATAAATATAACATCCCTATCATAGCAAAAAGTTCTGTTTAAATAGATGGTGCACCCTGGCTGGTTTTGCTTAATGGTTGGAGCATTGGCCCTCAGACCCAAGGGTCGTGAGTTCAATTCCAGGTCAAGGGCACCTACCTGGGTTGCGGGTTCACTCCCTGCCCCTGGTTGGGGAGTGTGCAGGAGGCAACCTGTCGATCTCTCTCTCTCTCTTTCTTCCTCCTCCCTCCCTTTCACTCTCTCTGAAAATCAATAGAAAAAATATCCTAGGGTGAGGAGTAAAAAAAAATTTTTAATGGATGGTGCTACAACAGATGTTGCTGAATATATAGGGGAAGAAAAAGCCAGCTAACTATATATGTACTACATGGAATTTGTAATTACATAAAGAATGCTTATAAAATGGTATAAAAACCTGAGGGGATGGAAGATCATTTCTTTTGGTCAAACCTGTGAAAGAAAGGAGATTATGCATATAACTTACATCCGCTTTTGCTTTAAAACACGCAAGGCTTTCTGCTTGACCATATTCTGAGGAGAAAATAGATTTTAATGAAAAGAAGTAAAAAGTATATACGTGGCAAAGCAAATCTTCCATATCCCCAAATGTACATATCTATTTATTCTATTCTTCAAATTAGCAGATATGGTGTCTCCTGCATTATTCTTCAACCCACAAGCACAGCCATTAAGCCTCAATTCTTCTTTGCCTTTGCATCCCATATCTCAGTGAATGAACTGCATGTCTTTTTCCTAGTGTATGTTTATTCCATCCTCAGCCTCAACAGTGCTGATTTTGTATATCCAATTACTTTAGGAGATCCCCAACTTGGACATCCTGCTATCCACTCAAACTCAAACATACACAAACTCCTCAACCTGCTCTCTCCTTGGAAATGACTAACAACAGCCCCATCGATCTCTCACTTCTTATATGAGAACCTTTATATCAACCTTACCTTTCCTCTCTCTGTCGTCTCTTCATGAATAGTTATTACTGATTGTCAGAACTCACTTTCAAATTGAATTATATCATTCTCCTGACTACCACCATGGTTTAAGCTTTCATCTCATCAAATCTAAATGAGCTTTCCTGCCTCTGGTCACTAAAATGTCTGAGGAAAGCTTCTTGTCTCTTCCCTTGTCACTTTCTATATGGTTCCATAAATCATTTTATTTGTCTCCTCTAATGAAGGGAAAGCAGATGTTATTACTTCACAGGTATTAATAATACCTAACATTTACTGAATGTTTCTATGTACTAGACACAGTACTTTGTAGGTCACATGAATTACCTAATTTAATCCTCACACTATTAAATAGATATTACCCTATTTTACAGATCAGAAAGCTGAGGTTCATTGATGCTAAGTAACTTGTCCTCACTCAAATGGTTAATGTTATAAAGATGGAAGCAATAAAGGTAGTTCTATAACCACAATCCATGCACTTTAGTAGAGTATTCTGTTTCTACCTAGCAGAAGAGGAAAATAAGAAATTAGGTGACTTTATCAAGGCCACTTTTTCCCCAGCATGCTACTCCTTAATCAGTCTATTACACCTATCTAACAGGACCAGCTTGGCAACTCATTATGCCTGAACATGGCTCAGTCCTTCTCTCCAGATTTGCCACTTTCTCAGCAGAATATGCTAATTCCCACATACATGCTTTTGGATATGTAGTCAGTATCTTCTCTCCATCAGATCAAAGCCTCAGTCTCCATCTCATATCTGGTTGTAAACTCTCTTCCCTCACATAGGTTTTCTACTTACCAGACTGTGAGCATGTCTTCTGTATCTCTCACCAGGCCCTCACCACATGCTATTTCCACAGGTGCTTAAATTAGGCTGTCACAGCAGCTCCTGCCTACCTTACCTTTGCAGGACTCTCCCTCATCTTCTTGATCTGATCCTTATACTTCACTAGCTCAGCATCCAGTCGAGAAATTTTCTTGTCAATGGATTCTGCCCTGCTGTCCACCTTAAGGGGAAAATATAAAAGGTAGTGGCCGTTATTACAATACTAGAGGCCCAGTACACGAATTTGTGCACCGGTGGGGGGGGTCCCTTGACCTGGCTGGCGATCGGGGCCGATAGGGGCCCATCTGGCCAGCCGGACCAGGGCGGGCTGTGGGAGGTTGACCACAGGAGGTTGGCTGTGGGAGCACACTGACTACCAGCTCCAGCGTTGAGCATCTGCCCCCTGGTGGTCAGTGCACATCATAGCAACTGGTCCACCTGTTGTTCGGTGGACCAGTGGTAACCGTCTGTTACGCTTTTATATAGATAGATAGATACTTACAGGAGAAGAAGCAAGAGAGAAAGGAATATGGATGGAGGAAGAAAAGAAAAATAAAGAGGATCACATCGTGAAGGGTGGAAAACACTTTGGAGGTCCAGGCTTCCAGCCTGGCCTGGGCTCTTTACCAGCATGTGCCCAAAGGGGTGGGGCGGAATCCCCAGACAGAAACTTTGGGGGGCTTTTATATGCTATACTCCATCCCCCAGATTCTGACTTTCCAGGGTCTCCCTCAAGCGCGTCTGGGCAGAAAAATAATTTGAGAGTCACTCGACTAAGTGCAATTTCCCTAGAATCAGAAACTAGTCAGGCTAGGGACTCCACCAGGTGTGTGAAATGAGCTAGTGCGCTGTAGACTGGCTGGAGCTGGAGCTCTAATGCTGTTCCCTAGATAGAGGGTGGTGGCTTAATGCCCAGGACCAGGTTTCTGAGTTTTGTTACTGAGATCCAGGATCAGGTACAGATATGTTGACCTAGGATGTCAAGAGAGTCCTGACGTGGGAGAGGGATGAAAGAGGGGTAATGACAAAGTGGGAAGTGTGTATGGTATAAGGAAAGAGCGAGTGGATGCGGCAGCGGGCATCAAGGGTCAGGTGCCAGTTGGGGGAGACAGCGATAGGTCAGGGGTCCCTGGTTTGTGGCGTCAGGAACCGCCTGGGTAACAGGAACGAAGGTGGAGTGGAAAGAGCCGAGGTGTAATGGGCCCGGGCCCGGGAATGGGGTGGAGGAGTAGGAGCCGGGAGCCGGGAGCCGGGAGGTGGGTGGGGTAAAGGGTTCAGAGGCCCAAAGCCTAGCTATGTGTGGTCAAGCGCCCACCGTGCCAATGCAGTCAGTCAAGTTGGGCGGAGGAGCCTTCGGTTTCGCTTTTCCGAAGAATCGGTTCATCTTGGCTGCGAAGAAAACCCAAACACTGGAGCAAAACCAGAAACGGAAGCAGAGACAACACCGCCTTGGTCTTGACTTCCGGCTCCCCGTGTGCAAGCGCACTGTGCCTCTCGGAGTTTCCCGATCCCTTTGTCGGGTTTTCAGCTCGGCCTTTTCCGGGGAAGAAGAGCTCCAGGAGATTGGAGGTGCTGGATAGAAAGTCAGCAGGGGGCGTGGCCACGCTGGACGACGTGAGGGCGTGGCTTCAGGTCAGCAAGGCGGGGCCTCATCTGAGTGGGTGGGACCCAGGGCGGCTTCCCCAGTATAGGGTAGGGGCGGGGTTCGCCCCAAGGGGCGTGG